CTTAACAAAAATATGTAAAAGACAGGTAAAGGAAGGGAGACCTTATAGGTTTAAGATGCTTCAACTAATCATTAAAAGAAATTTCCAGACTTCCAACAGGAACTGAATTTACCCTCCTGTCTGAAACACCCCCAAAACCTCAGACAAAATAAATAAAACAATGGTTTTACAATACTGGATATCAAGCATCAAAGGACAGTGACCCTGAGAGATAGGAAACAAAAGGAATGTGCCCTTCAATTGCCCTGGCCTACTTCTTGAGAATCTCTAGATTATATACATAAACCTAACCGTGTCAATAATCACATTGAATGTAAATGGTCTAAGCACTCCAATTAAAAGAGAGAAATTAGGGCCGGCTGAGTGGCGCGATGGTTAAGAACTGGCTTGGGACGCCAGAGGGCCCTGGTTCGGATCCCACATATGAGGGCCAGTGACACTGACCTGTACAGCTAAGATGCTGAACAACAGCTCAACCTGGAGCTGGGCTGCCATGAGGTGCCAGGCGATGGCGTAGGCTGCAGCCCCTGTGGCAGTGGGTTGAATGGGCTACCGTGTGTAGCCAGCAGCCAGCGTGAGCGGCCCTCAAGCCACAGTGAGCAGCCATCCAGAAGCCAGCGACTGATCTGCCTCGGCCAGGAAGAGTGCAATGATGGTGCCAACTTGGGCCAGTGAAGCAACGTCCTCCACAACTAGACTGAAGAACAAAAGGACAGCAACTTGTCTGTTCCCCTTCTCCCAATTCCCCAGTAAAAATCTTTAAAAAAAAAAAAGAGAGAAATTGGCAGGTCAGATAAAAAAGAAACACTCAATTATTTGCTGCCTAAAAGAAATACTTTAAACATAAAGACAAAAACAGGTTAAAGGGTTGCAAAAGACCTGCTCAGAAATCATGCCAAAAACCTGTTCAGAAATCAGGCACGCTATTTTAATATTGGACAAAGAAATTGTTAGAGTAAAAAAATATTATCAGGGATAAAGGATGTCATTTCATAATGATAAAGTGGTCGGCAACAATTCTAAGCATTTATGACCCTATTAGCAGAGCTTCAAAATATATGAAGCAAAAACAAATAGACTATCAGAAGAAATTGATAAAAATCACGATTTTAGTTGGAGATTTTAGTACCTCTCTCTCAAGACCTGATAGAATAAATGAACATAAAATCAGCAAGAATATAATAGTCTTGAACAATACTATCAACCAACTAAACCTATTTCCCATTTATAGAACACTCACATAACAGCAGAACATTCACCAAGATAAACTATATTCTAAACTATAAAATAAATCTCAAGAAATTTAAAAAGATTCAAGTCATACAAAATATATTCAATGACCACAATGGAATTAAATTAGAAACCAATAACAGGAAGCTCTCTGGAAAATCGTCAAATATTAGAAAACTAAATTACACAATTTTAGATAACCCATAGGTCAAAGAAAAATTCAAAAGGAAAATTAGACACTGTTGAGAATTGAATGAAAATGAAAATTATTTATACATATGAATTTGTGGGATATCACTAAAGTAGTACTTAGGGGCAAATTTATAAAGGTAAATTCCTATATTAGACAAGAAGAAAGGTCTAAAATCAATTATCTCAGATTCCAATTTAAGAAACTAGGAAAAGAGCAAATTAAACACAAAGCAAGAAGAAAAAAGGATATAATAAAGATCAACGTGGAAATCAATGTAATAGCATGGAGAAAAATAATAAAGAAAATTTTAAAAGACTAAGAGCTGTCTTTTTTTTTTCCAGATGATCAATAAAATTGGTAAACTTCTAGCCAGTTTTATGAGTGAAAACAGAGAAAACACAAATTACCAACATCAGGAATGAGAAAGCTGATATCACTGTAGATTCTAGGTATTAAAAGCACAGTAAGAGAATATTATTGAATAATATTGTGCCAATGAATGTCGCACTTAGATGAAACTGACAAATTCCTAGAAAGACAAAATTTGCCAAAACTCACTCAAGAGAAAAATATTAGATAATCTGAAGAGCCCTGTATTCATTTTTTTAATATGGATTTTGTAGTTAAAAACATTATTATAACAAAACCTTCAAGTTCAGATGGCCGCATTGGTGAATTCTACCAAACATTTAAGGAAGAAATAAAACCAATTCTATACCAACTAGTCTAGAAATAATAATTCTACACAAATTGTCAACTTTATTTTTTGAGGCCAGCATTACCCTGATACAAAAAGCAATCAAAGACATTACAAAAAAACTACAAACTGATTTTCCTCATGAACACAGATGCAAAAATTTGAAACCAAAATTTTAGCAAATCCAATCTACTATATACAAAGGAAAATACATCATGATTACTTTAAGTTTATCCCAAGAATTTCAGGGGTGGTTTAACATTCCAAAATCGATCAATGCAATTTACTGCATTAACAAACTGAAAAAAGAAAAACCATACAATAATCTCAATAGACCCCGAAAAAGCATTCAACAGCATCCATTCTTGATAAAAATTCTCAGCAAAAGCGGATTAAAGGGGAACTTCCTCCAGTTGATGAAGGGCATCTATGGAAAACCTACAGCTTATGAGTGAAACAATGAATGTTTTCCCTCTAATATGACAGTGCCAGTGAGATTGGGCACAGAAATTTGGGAACTTTTGTTTTGGACTCGTTGAGTTTGGGACCCAATATGCCATTGAACATCAACCTGGGGATGTGTAGATTGAGAAGGATGTGGAGCTCAGAAGAGAGCTGTCAGGACATAGGGCCTATTAAGGGTATTTTTAAGCAAGTCTATATTTTAAAACAAGTGCCCCAGGGAAACACAAGTGAAGAGAAAGATGACAAGAGGGTTAGGAATGGAAATACTGAAGAAAATCAATACTTAAGGTTCCTCCTGGAGGATACATACAGGAAGAGGGGCAAAAAAAGGCGGCCAAGAACAATCCTAGAGGTGAAAAGACACCTCTATGATGTAAGGGAAATTCAGTTTCAAGAAAGAGGGAGGGTTCCTAAGAGAAATAAGTCAAACTGAAAGAGAAATACCATATGATCTGACTTATATGCGGAATCTAAAGAGCAAAATAAACAAACAAACAGAAATAGACTCATAGATACAGAGAACAAACTGATTGCCAGATGAGAGGGATGTTGGGGGGATGGGTGAGAAAGGTGAAGGGATTAGGAAGTCCAAACTGGTAGTCACAAAATAGTCATGGGGATGTGAAATACAGTATGAGGAATAGTCAATAATGTTGTAACGACTATGTACTGGACTATGGGTACTGGATTTATTGGGGGGATCACTTCATAGATTATAAAAATGCTTAACCACTGCTGTACACTTGAAACTAATATAATATTGAATATATTATATTATTGAATAATTATTAAATGTATAATTAAACATATACATATATATGTAGTTACAGGATGTAAAGTACAGCATAGGGAATATAGTCAATAGTATTGTAATAGCTATATATGGTGTCAGATGAGTAGTAGACTTGTTGGGGTTATCACTGTGAGGTGTGTAAATGTTTATGTTGTTTTATACACTTGAAACTAATAAAAAAAATAGGGAGGGGTCAATAGAGTCAAAAGTTGGAGAAGAAGAACATAAAATGTAAGGATTCTGGTACATTCTGATAATCTTAGCCAGAAACATTGGTGACCACTAGGATAAATTGAAATTAGGCATTATCTAATATAGATGGGACTTAGCCAATCCTTACTGCCAGCTGACACACTACATTCCATTCTATTCTGGGTGGATGGTGATGCCAGTTAAAGCTCTCCAATTGGTTACTACAAGGTTCTCTGGATTGTTCACCAAGAGAGAAGCCAGTATCCATGGCTGTAGAAAGTTCAGGTATCCACTTTTCAGCTCAATACAGAGTAAGTGAAACGTTTTCCTGGAGTCTGAGGCCCACCAGAGCCTTGGACTGTTTGTTACTGTAAATATTTTACTATTAAACTGTCTATCCGTTCCCAGATCAGGTACCTCTTACCTCCTATGCAGAGAGCAGAGGCACATTATCTCACTGAGCCTCAATTTCCTCATTAGTAAACAGTGGAAAAGAATATCAATCCTCACTACTTTTATTGGATTGGTTAGAATAAAATGCGTTTTTAGGTTGCTCACTTTGGCTCCTCGACTACAGCCTGACACATAGCACGAGTTCATCAAATTTGGCTGTATTATAACTGAATATTTGTCCAAAGGCTGTTAACTGGAAGCCATTTCAAGTGTTTTTATCTATTCCCCAGCCCCGATTTAGGCCTTCAAGTGACCAAATTCAAAGTAATACCTCATCTTGACGAATGCCAAGGAGTAGCTGGAAGGACTGCAGTCCCTTCTCCATAATCCCAATAAAAACATAGTTTGCTGTGCAAACTAAACTTCTTGACCCCTGGCCCACCTTCCCACCAGGTTGCTGCTTCCAAACCTTTCTTTTGGAAATTCTGCATCCGCTGTAGAACTTTTGAGGGACCAGTGATCAGATTTCACTTTGCCATCCCTTGAGACGTCACCAAGAAACTGTAAAGCCGCTTTGGCGTCCCCCATACCCCAAAACTTGAGGCTGCCCCACCAGCTGAGTTTCCCCAGGAGCCCAGCTCTGTAAAGTCACCAACTCGGCAGGGCAAGTCTGTCACACAACACTCACAGGCGAACGCGCAAACAGCAATCTGGCTGCAGTTGGATTTTCCTCAGGGGCGGGCCTTAACGGCGGGGACGGAGCGGGGCGCCACGGACCCCTCCTCTTAGGGACCGCTGCCCAGTGCGGGGGCGAGACTGGCGGAGCCTGGAAGGGCGCCGCGGGCTCCTCCTCCCAGGGGCTGGCAGGACGGAGGCGGGGGCGGGACTTGGCAGCGGGGGCGAGGCCAGGAATCGCCGGCTCCTCCTTCCGTGGGCGGGCAGGCAGGAGACTGGGAGGGTTTCTTTTCCCCGGAGCGGGACTCAGCGGCCCGACAGGCCTGGAGGCGGGGCCTCGCGCCGAAAGTCCCGCCTCCTGAGGCGGGCTCATTTGGCGGCGGCAAGTCGGGGGTGTCTGCGGCTCGATTGCTTAGCCAAACGGGCTCTGGCTCCTCCCAGTGGCCGGCCGGGGCGGAAGCAGGAGGCGGGGGCAGCGTGTGCGCTGCTGGTCTCCTCTCCTGCGGCGCTGGGGCCCGCGCTCGGCAGCTACTGCTGGATTCCGCGCTTTGCAGGAGGCCAGCTCTACTCCGCTCTCGCCCGTTCCTCAACCAGGCCTGTTTCTCAGCCGCGGTCCCGTGGCGTCGACCCCGCCGGCCCTCTCCCGCCCCGTCTCTCATACTCTGGCCGCCTCGGCCCGGGCCCCGATGGCTCTGTGCAACGGAGACTCCAAGGTCAGTCTCTGGCGTGGTGGTTCCCGCTTCACAGCCTCCGGAGGGAGGCTAGGCTCCGGGGCCCGGGAGCCACCGCTCGTGGCCCTTCCCCGCCCCCTCTCCTCAACCCGTCAGCGCAGCTTTGCGGCCCGGGCAGCAGCGAGTCAGAGAGCCACGGGTCGGGGCCTGTGGCATGTTTTCTCTTCGCGAGCGGCAGGTGCTTTGTTGATTTTGTCTGCGTGCCGAGGGTTCCTGCGCCCGCCGAGCTCCGGGCGTCGGGGAAGGCGGCAGCTCCTTGCGGCCGCGCTGCTGGCCCTGGCCTCCCCCGCGCCGCTGTGGGGCGCAGAGCCCGCGAAGCGCGGCCGGAGGGTGGGGGTAGGGAGGCGAGCCGGTTTGTGTGTGTGTGTGTGTGTGTGTGTGTGGGAAGGGGGTCTTTCTCCGCCCTCAGCCCGTCCCTTCGGGAGGCTGGGGGCCTTTTATGGAGCTCCGCCGAAGGTAGGGCAAGGTCGCGGCCTCGCGTGCAAGGATCGAGCTGGGCCATCGTCTCGTCTTCCCGCCACCCCGTTTCCCGCCTGCCCTCGGTGAGGCCCGCGGGGTTCCCACTTGCCGGGCTGGGGGTTCGCGGCTGCCCGTTCGAGACCACCCGTTCCCGGGTCAGGGCTGGTGACCCAAGAGTCGCTCACGCGGTTCCTCCCCCCGCCCTCCCACCACCCCCATCCTTCTCCTAGGGAAGGAGCATTTCCAACCCCGCCCCCATCCAGCTTGTTCCTTATTTTCTATGTGCGTTTGCTGTGGGACCGGCGCCCGCCGTGGGGATCCTTCGCCCGGACGCTGGCCGCTGCCATCATGCCGGAGGGCCGGGGAGGTCGGGAGTCCCGGGGTGCTGGAAAAGTTGTTAACTTGATGTGCCGAGTGCGGGGAGAGCACGTTTGGGCCGCTGCGGCACTTCACGTCGCCTCTAGCTCACTTTTTCTTTAGACCGTCTTTCGTCTCGCTTCTGAATGGAGGAGCACCTTCGCTTTCATTTCTGTATTTTAATTTTCGTTGGCCTGGAATTCTTTCAGACTCTCGCAAAGTCAGTTTTGTCAGCGGGAGACGGCACACAGTTTTGAATTGCGCTTTACTTGAGCAAGGTGTACCTACTATATGATGCTGTTTAGGGCCTGGCTTTAAGAAATTGCTTCATTACATTTTATTCAGGTGTGTGGAATTTTAAACGTCAGGTGGGAGTTGGTGTTGTAAGTCAGGCAGTCATGTCTTATTCAGGCAGTGTTCTCTTACAAAGGGGGTGTCTAAGTGTCAGATCTTCGTGGGTCCTCTCCATGAATGCGTCCTTAGTGTCTCGTACACATTCAAAAAGTATTTGTTGAACAAATGAGTAAAGATTTTTAAGGTAGCCGATATACTCTTTTAAACCGAATATACTGATGGCCAGACTATTTGGAGCTCTTTCTCAGGATTATATAGGTGAATGAAGACACTCAAACCTGTAGTTTCTGATCTCAGAATGTAAACCTGAGCGTACAGCTCTTTCCTGTTACTTTGCAGAGCATTTTCCTTCTCTTTACTTTTGAGCATTATAACTTATTGGAAAGATTAAGCTTTCTCCGGGTAGAGGAAATGACTCTAATTTCCTAGCTGGTGTTGTTGTTTTTTTGTTGTTCATTTTGAATTTTAAAGAGTATCTTGATCAGTTTGACACATTTGAGCCTCAGATGAATTGTTAACTTATTTTTATTTCTAGGTCCTTTATGTTTTATAACATAATCAAGAATGTGTTTTTCTCTGACTATACTAACCATTAGATGTGGACCAAATTGGAAGCATTTTCAAGAGGAGCAATACAGGGGAATAATTATTTCAGCCAATCTGTGGTTACTTCATGTACTTTCTAAGGGGAAAAAACCCCCCCTACAGTTAAACCATATGTCATTGATTATAGGAAACATTTGAAGTTTGCTGTATAAACTACATATAAATATAAACATTTCCTATAACCAAGAGGTGTTTAAATGTGGGGAATGTGCATAATAAAGTAGGTGAAACAGGATATTTCTAGGAGTTCCACCTGGAAATATGAGTAGGCATCCGTTTTCCATAGCTTACCACTGAACCACCTTTCCCTCTGGAGTAAAATGCAAGTACTGGACTCAGGCTTGCTCTATACATCTGTTATGCCTCTGACAGTAAATCCAAGCTGATTTTGATTCCTGTTCTGGTACATTTCACTTTTTATCAGGGTTTTCTAAAATAACGTTTTTTCTGCATGATAGAAATTTGGGAGACACCTAACATTTGTAAAAGCATTTCAGCTCTTTTCATTAGTTTTATCCAGAGTATCATTTTAGAGCTGGCCAAGGACCTTTATGTGTTCCAGCTCCCTATACTGAAAAACCTGAGCTGGTATTAGAACCTAGTTTTTCTTATTCTTCAGGCCTACTTTGGTTAACACTCTAGAGCAGAGATTTTTGTTTCCTTAGTTAACGAGTTGATAAAATGTTTAGTTAAGATCTTATTTACTATAAACAAGGGCAAAGGTCATCAGCTATTCTTTAAAAAATTTTTACGTCTGTTCAGTGTTGTGTATGGATAGTATATGTATATGTCAAGTATTAAACATAATCACTTTTTTTTCTAGTTTTTTTTAAGGCAGGATTGATTATCAGTAATGTTCTTTGGGCCAGTTGTCAAGTTTCCCGCTTTTTGGCCCTAAGCCTCAGACTCTTATGGAGCAGAGGTGAGACTTGCCCCACCACCTTCACTTGTGATGTTGATTAGGGTGTATCATAATTGGATTAAAGTTGTTTTATAAATACTTACTGATAAGTTAGAAATTTAAATTTGGCATTTTTTTTAAAGATTTTTATTTTTTATTTTTTATTGGGGAATTGGGGGGATGGGAACAGTGCTGGGGAATTGGGGAAAGGGGAACAGACAAGTTGCTGTCGTTTTGTTCTTCAGTCTAGTTGTGNTCATGTGGGATCTGAACTGGGGCCCTGCTGCTCAGAGCTGGCGCCCCAAGCCAGCTCTTAACCAACATGCCACTCGGCAGGCCCAAAACCTGTATCATTTTTTTTTTTAAGCTGAGCCATCCTGCCACCTGTTGGTAGCTCAGCAGCAGCTCAGCTCAGGCCGGGAGTCAAACCAGCGACCCTGTTGCTCAGAGCTCACACTATTGAGCGACCTCTTAACCAACTGAGCCACTCAAATTCTAATAATTTTTGACGGGTGATCAAACTTGTGTGTGGTCTCACGTTGTCGCGATGGAACACAACACCTTTACAATTAACAATCTCTGGATATTTCCGGATGATGGATTCATTCAAACTATCCAATTGCTGACAGTACACATTTGAATTGATTGTTTGGTTCCTTGGTAGGAGCTTGAAAAACACGACACCTTTAAAATACCACCACACTGAGGGCATAACCTTCCTCTGATGAATGTCTGCTTCCGATGTTGTTTGAGGCGAATCATCACATCAGGACCAAGACCGTTTGCACGCCACATTGTTGCAAACAATCCACTTCTCATCACCAGTTATTAGTCGCTTCAAAAAAGGATCGTTTTTCACGTTTAATGAGCATATTGCAAATATTTATATGCGCTGTCAAATGAACTTCTTTGAGTTCATGCGGAACCCAAATATCAAACTTGCTTATGTATCTCAGCTTCTTCAGGTGGTCATGAACGCTTGAATGATGGATGTTCAATGTTCCTGCAATCTCTCGTGTCATGTAACGTGGGTTTGACTCGATCAATGCCTTTATTTTGTGGTCGTCAACCTCGGTGGGCCTCCCTGACGAAGGAGTGTCATTGAGATCAAAATCACTAGCATGTGAACCATCATTGGCATTGATGTTCTTATAGAGCATTATCACCATAAAATTCATGCAACTTTTCACAAACTTGACGTGCATTCTTCCCTTTATGGAAGTAAAACAGTAAAATATGGCAAAAATGCACAGTTTGGTCTTCCATCTTCAACTTGTTGTAAAATCTCCAAAACNCAGTGTCACTGGCCCTCATATGTGGGATCCGAACCGGGGCCCTCTGGCATCCCAAGCGAGTTCTTAACCATCGCGCCACTCGGCCGGCCCTAAATTTGGCATTTTTAAATTTAAGTTTTTCGATTGAATGGAAAGATAACCTGAGATTTTTATATGTGATGCACTGAGAATTAAACAACTGTCCTTTTATGATAAACCTATAGTACCCTTTTTTCAAAGGTCAAAGATAGATTATTTTTTCTTTAGATTTTGTTCTGTTAAGATATTCATCTGGAATGGAAGAGCTGTTCTAGACAAAAGGAATGTTTTTAAAAAATTTTTATTTTATTTCCTATTCTTAGACTTGAAAGGTTTTGAAATTCCTCCAGATGACCTTGCCTTTAGTGTGGGCCAACTTGTCACTTAAGGAAAATAATTGTCTTTGCAAATTTTTAAAAAAATATATAGACTTGTCCTATACTTGTTCAAATGTGTTCGATACTTTTTTCCTAAGGCTGTTTAATGAATTATATTCCAAAAGATACTATTTGAAGTAGTGAATAATTATTTGCTATCCACAATGATAAAATTTTCCTGTTATGGTACTTAAACTGTTTTCATGATTCCTAACTTAAACTCAGTGTAGATGCTCAAAATGAATGAATACTCAATACGTAATTCTGAAATACTTTGTGAATCAACAAAAAAGTAATTGTTTTATAGAATTTTGAACCTTTGTATAGTATACATAGTTCTGGGTTGTGTAGAATATTCTTTTTTCTGTGCTTATTGTGAAATAGAAATGTTTTGTATTTGATCAAGAATCACAGTGGTTCAAAAAATAGTTTTACTATAGTAATCATGCGATATTAGTTGGTTTGCTTGTTGGCGGACCCTTGCCATGGCTCATGGTTTTGAGGACCCAGGAAATGCTTTATGTAGTTCTATACATACTCCCTAATATAGTTACTTATAATGTGATAATGAATAATGTGTTTTGTTATAGTAGTGTGACCACATATTCTCTTTGT